TGGGCGCTCCAGCCACCACTGTTAGCTTACCCCTAGTGGTGATGTGGTGTCCCGAATCAAGAGAGAATCCTAAAGTGTGTTAAATGAAGTAGATTTATAGTGCTGTGCAAAAGTGTTGAGCTACCTCTCATTGCTTTATATTTTGCGAGAAAAATGGAAAGTAGGTGCAGCAGTTTATTGACACATACACAAAAATACAAGGAAATATAGTATCTAAGGCAGAAACATGTGAGTCTGAACATCTAACAAACTTGAAAGTCAGTGCTTGGTATGACCAGCTTTACTCTTCAAAGCTCTCTGACACAAGCTTTCTTGTAATTTCTCTAATTTGTCTTTAGAAATAGTTCTCCAGGCTTCTTGAAGGACAATCAAAGCTCTTCTTTCGATGTTGGCCTGAGCAGGTTTGAGGGACATGCTTGCCTGGTAAGCCTAATTTTGTACTTTTATACAATGTCTGTGAAGGTTCTCGGTCATCCAGGTCATCGTAGTCAAAGGAGCTTGCAAGGAAAGTGTCTGGACTTCTTTAAGTTGCTTGAAGACGTTTCACCTCTCATCTGAGAAGCTTCTTCAGTTCTAAGGTCAAATTGCGTCCCAGATTTAAACCCAGTGGGAGTTTCCCCCCAAAGAGGGACAAAGGACCCCATGACCGCCTTCATACAATGATATGAAACCAACGTTTTTACAGGTCTCTCTGAAGTCCTCTGAAAAACTAAGTACACCCCAGAATTGAGTAGTTTGTAAAGTCACCTGTAGCAGCAATAATAACTTGATGGACATCTTCATGTATGCATAATCATCCAGGTAAGGAAATCCCAGAAAGTTGATTCTGTTTATCTGGATATTTCCGTATGACCATATTGGTCTTTACATCTTTTTAAAGGAATTTTGGCTCACTCTTTTTTACATTATTGTTTTAGCTCATTCACGTTTGCTTGAGCAAATTAATGAACTAACATCAAACAAGTGACGGAAAAAAAAAATCTGTGGGTGTTCAACTCACCGAGGTAGCTGTTTGCAGGTACAGGCACAAAATCAGGGTTCCTGACTTTTTCATTCCCAACTTCATATGGGCCATCATCAAATATTCCCATGTCCAGAAAAGTACTATTATTCTGCTCCAGTCGCACTATCCCTGGATTTAAGAGCACAAAGTGATGAGAAAAATGCATTTTAGGATTAAAAAATGAGATTCATGTACAAAACTTAAATCCACTAATGAAGATAAACAGCATATAAAGACACAATCACATAGTGACCTCTCCAGTTGTAAGCTCCCACTGCTCCAAAAACCATGTAATGGTAGTCATTGGTGAAAGTAGCCGCCAGTCCTTGCTGGCATGTTCCAAACATTGCATGGCCTTCAGGTCTGCCATCGCAGAATTTCCATTCACCTCCATCCTCAGAAGACTGAAGGTCAATGGTTAGGTCCTGACTCAGAATATAACAACGTCCGGGGATGTGATGAGTCTCCTCTGGAGTATTCACATTCAAACGCCTTTGATAGCGATGAGCACATGTCTGAAGAAAAAGATACGAGTAAGACCTTTACTGAACCAGGGCTCGAGGATCCACAGAACAATGGTTTTAATACTTAGTTTGACTCACCACAATCTTTCCCCCAGGTCCCTGACTCTTCACTGACACCCCCATCCACTGATTCTCTTTATTCTCAAGTCTTAGATCCGCTGAAAATTTGCCAACAGACATAATTGAACATTTTACTTGGAAAGCTTGGTTTCTACAAATTGTCAAAATTACAAAGTGGATTGGACAAAGCAGTGGATTTTGTTTAGGTAGGTATGCAGGCAGAGTTCTCACCATTATCATCAAATTTGATACGCTCACAATTACTAGACTGGGTGACTTCACATTTATACAGGCCTCCAGTGATATTGGCTTTTTGGTTTTGCAATGACCGGGCTCTGGGTGCACCAATCAGTACCCTAAAAAAAACACAAAAAACAAGACAGAAATATATTTAATCAAAAACTTATTTCATAAAATGTTTGGGAACTGTTGCTTTAGTTACCTTTGCTGGGATACCATTCAACAAAGCCACAGCTTGTAGAATTTCACACACATATGTAAAAACATCAACAGTGATAATGAAGGGAAACAACAAATAAGTGCAATACTGATGGTTAAAGGGGACTTTGGTTCCTCTACTTCTTTTGTAATGGTGACATCCTGTGGCTTGGTTTAGACAACCTCACCACCCCTCATTTATTTCGCTATGCCTTTTTATTTTTATCACAGTGGTTTTCTGACTGTCTTATCGCTGCTATTATCAAGTAAAGGCAAACAGACCAAAATATTGTTCAAAGAGTCTCTGTGTAAAAAGATGTGCAGGCTAAATATAAAAGAAAAAAGTGGATGCTTGTTCAGCAGAACAGGAGACTCATTAACTCTTCGACCTGCAGCTTGGAGGACAGAAGCTGCACTTCTGCAAAATGATGAACAAAAAGCCAAAGTCAGAGTGACTAAGTGTGTTTCAACACACCACAAAACTAACAGCATTTAGTGTGCATGCTTTCTGCTCTGAATCGACCTTATTTTGCTTTTTTTCCCGGTAAAAAAAAGCACATTAAAAACCTGCTTGAATCAGTATGTGCAGATTTGGAAAACAGGAGCATACAACTGACTGGGTGCAGTTCATTGCTGTCAGTTATTGAATCTGATGATTTTATAAGACATGCAAACTAAACCTGGAGTATGTTACGGCTGATGGGAATATCATGAATTTTGCAGGCAGTTTGGAACACAAATTTGCCTAGAAAGAAAAGAATAGCTATTATA